AAGAGTTGACTTCCCCCACACGGGAAAAGTTACCCATGGTCATTTGGGGCCAGGAATATTGATCAACCCCCAGTTCTTGTCCCACAAAGAACAACCCCATGAAAATGCATTGGCTTCCGAACGACGGCGAATGGATTGGAAAGAAAAGTCCCCCTTCCGAAGGCAACATCTCCCAAATCTCCCTGGAACCTCAAAGCCAGAGCCTCTCCAAACCTAAAATTGAATCGATTTTTGACCTCACAGTCGCCAAAAGCTGTGGGGGGGGGGGGGGATTTTGCGGGGGGGGGGGGGGGCTGATGTCCATCGCCGGACGCTAGATAGAGCCCCTCCAACCTGCCCGGCGTCTGGCCTCACCCGTTGCGCGGAGCCAGCGACGAAGGTGCAGACGGGCCGGAGCTCGATGGAGGTCATGGCTTTGCTAACGCTCCGATCGAAAGTCGGGTATGGAGGGTGTGCAACTTAGGTGTGGAGTCACTCACATCGGCCGTCTTCGGAGGGAAATGGGCTTAACCGCTTAACCCTGGCGCACAAGGGCCGGGGGCATAGAAAGGGAAAGGACAGATTGTTTCGATTGGGAGTCGCATCGTGAAATGGGCTATCTCGCAATTGTATACCCATTGTTTGTGGTTTTGAAGGGAAACCAAAAAGGAAAACCACCAACTATAAATATGTATATATGTATATACATATATACGTATATAGCTCCACAAGGACTCAACTCACAAGCCATTTTTGGGGGTCAGTCTGTTCGGCCTCTTTGGAGGGGGTGGAGAGTCAAGTCCATGGCAGCCTTTCAATCTTTACGATGATATGATGACATGGCTCTGGGTCAAAACTCTGTGCCCCTGGTGAACATCAAAATAAGTGGTACATGGGTGTTCATCCGCCCCAAAATGGAGGCATAGTTTACGACCCATGGCCACATGCTAATCCCCCCTTATAGGTGTGTTAGACTTAAGCTAGCATCCCGGCCAACACTCTGGTGCTCAAGAGCACGGGGCACTTTACCATACACAGAACTTCAGCCTTAATCATTGTACATGTATCACACAAACCTGGATAGATTGTTGGCTTACACAGGAAGGGGTTGTCTAGCTGTTCTGACATGCCGTTCACTAGTAGGCCAACATGGGCTTGTCACTAGTTCTCAGTGTCGAAATGAACGTCTGAAGCCCAAAACGTGCTCGAGATCGCGGCGATGCGTTGGCGTAGGCAAAAACCGCTAGGACGTTCACCAGCAAATAACCGTGGTGTTTCTTTTTGGTGGGGTGACAAGGGTGGCTTCCTCTGAAATCCATGGGATGTGACCTCTTTACAGTTGAACATCCAAGTGGGTCACAGTTAATACGGTTACCCGAGGGGATCGAAGTTGTCCGTCCTCACTCCCATGTCTTGAAACCCCTAGGAACGTCCAATGCTCCACTGTTCAAAAAGCCTTCCTTGAAGGCTTGAAGATAGGAAAACACAGGAACGGATGTGCTCTTGAGTACCGAGACCAACTAGCTGGACGACCTAATTGCTTAACGAGTTCAGCAAAATGGCTCCTTTGCTCGTAACGTGAGACACGACCAAAAAAAATACGGAGACCTTCCAGGGATGAGGGTGACCGTCCTTGCGTGGCTGAGCATCCCCAGCCACCTGCTCTGTGTATATTGATGACATGACACAGTACAAGCTGAAGTTGCGAGCTCAGACGGATGAGGACAGGTCGAGACGAAATCCTGCTGACCGTCAGGTCGGGACTTGTTTCATGTCCCTCAAAATAGGACCCGAAGGCAGTATTCGACCCAGAGCAAACAAACGGATTCAGTCTTGAACCTGCTTGTGACTGGATGAAACACGTGTTGGTTTCCAACCAGCTAGCAAACCCATCTTCACATCGCAGGAAATCCACATGACGCACATGACCCCCCCCCCCCAAGCCCTTCCAGCAGCTCAACTCCTCGCCACAGCCTCGTCTTGTTTTCTGACTTTGTGACTTGGGGGTGACATGGCAGTGGGTCAAGAATATGTACCCAAAATTAGCACCCTGGTAAATGGAAACATGGATCAAACCTGTGGTCCCATGGTGGTTTAATTTTCACCCCATACCCACCTGTTTTTTCGGGCTGAGTCCGGGTTGCTCCTTCCACGATAGCCCATTGAGGGCTTGCCCTGAGGGCTTCTTTCTCCTTCGGCGTTGGCCACCTGGGGGCTTTCCTTCAAGACTCACAGTCTGGCCACCTGGCGGCCCCCCGAATCCAAGGGCGAGGCACAAAAGAAAGTATACGGATCCTTCCAGTCTGGAGTGGTCTGGATCACCTGCATTTGTTTGTTTTTTTTTTCCCGGGGGTCTGACCTCATTTGGTGTGAGCCGCATGTCCAAAAGAAACAAGCAAAGGCTGACCCCGCCCATCTTACGTGGAACCTGACTGGTCCCGCAAAGACCATGGTCCTTCAAGCTTGACCCTCCGCGTGGTCCGCATCAAATCACCCGAAACCCGGCAGCTGAAGTCCAACATTTTCCCGGCAGCCAGCTCCGGCGGATCAGCTTGCGCATCGCGACTTGACGCGCAAGAGCGCTTGCCTGTGCTTGCGTTCAAAAAGTCCGATGCGCTGAAACCGTCTCCAATGCGCCCCCCTTTCGGATTTGGTCGGTTTTCTGGTGACAAAAGTCCGACCCTGTGGTCCTGACGCATCCGAAACGGGGGTCTTTGAGACGCCTCTCAGCTTCGCGGCTTGGCGAGACATCCTGAAAAGGAACAAGACAGGACGCCGGTGCCACGATGTTTGCCTATGTTGTGCGATGGTGTTGGCAGAAAAAGCAGACCAACTCAAGAAATCCAAACACAAAAAGCAAGCCTATGTGAGCTGTCCTGATTTGCGGGGCATGACTTGTTAGTTGTTTGTTGTTCCTGTTTCCGGGCTGTTTGCAAGAGCTTCTGTGTTCAAAAGTGCACTTGTGTAGTTCACATCCAAACCCAAGTACAGTACGCAACTATTACCTTATTGAATGTTGCAGAAATTAAGTGGAACTTGATAAAGATATCAAGTAGAAAACATAAGAAAATAACTCCGGGGTCCTAAAATCGTTGGACACATTGTGTTCTAGTTTAATTGTTTGCTGAATATCAGTAAAGGAAATTCTATTGGAAAGGAAATCCTGTGTAGCATCTAACTTGAAATAGAATAGTTATTGATTGAATTGTAATTCAAATAGACATTCTTATTGGAATCGCTCCTTATCAAATTATATTTGATTGTTCAGATAGGAATTTAGTAGAACTTGATAAAGATATTTAGTAGAATTCATAAGGAAAGATGTCAGAGGGCCAAACATCATGTTTTACTATTAATTCCAGCACTACCATGATCAGCAAACACCGTAAAACACTGTGTTTTGTAATTAGCGTTTTCCGTACTCAATTCACATCTCTATCAAAGCCCGATCTCTAAAAACCAGTTGAGTTTGAATAGATTTAAATGGAACTCAATATGGAAATACTTGATCAGGTTCCACTAGAAAGTATATCCCGAAAACAGAATTTAGATAGAGTTCCTTTCCCAACAGAACTGTCCAACTCAATTATGATTAAGCAGACTTTGATAGGAAATAATCCAATCACGAATTCTGTGTTATATTGGAATTTAGAATAGAATATGTTGTAGTGTACGATTGAATTTACACACCGATCGAGTTTCTTTGCAAATCAGCTCACATTGAAACACACACAATTCAAACATCGTCCAACTCGGATTTCCATCCTTGACAATGTGAAGAAGGCACACGCTCACAGCGCCCCGCTCTCTTTGTGAATCCCCGCTCGTCTATCTGAGGGGTAGCCAGATTCCAAGAATGCTCAAAAATGTGCACTCCCGCGGCGTCCTGCTCTCAAAAAGAAGGGGCTACACATGAGCCGTGGTCAAAATGCAAACTTCCTGGCCAGGCAAAATGGCTCATGGCCCCCCGGCACCCTTAGATTTGTTTTGACCACAGCACTGGCGGCTAGGAATGGAGGAAGCAGTCCTCTAGCGAGCTCAAAGCTGCTGACCTTGCAACATTGCCTTGCCGTGAATGCGATTTGAACCAAAGGAGAATCCTCGCAAACTCAGGATGGCTTGTTCCCTGCGTGCTCGGCCTCGCTTGGAAAAAAGCAAGCCAGATCAGTCGTTGGCGCCTTTTGGCTCCGGGCTGTCTCGGGACGAAAATGAAAACGACGGTTTGCTTCTTGGCCCAAGGCTAAGCCGTTCCAAACCCGCCTGACAAAGAAACCAACCAAGCAAACACTCGAGGCAGAAAAGCAAGAACTGTTCAGCATTGGCAATTGTGGGTGGTCTGCTGCTGCTGCTGCTGCTGCTGCTGCTGCTGCTGCTGCTGCTGCTGCTGCTGCTGCTGCTGCTGCTGCTGCTGCTGCTGCTGGGGCTGGGATGGCTTTCCTCACACATGCCAACATTTGCTCGCAATCAAGTGATTGTTGTCTAGCGGGGAATATCATTGACGCAAATGGGGTTCGTTAAACTCAAAAAACACATCAGAGCATCCTCTCACGGAAAACACAAATGCCAAAGTGTCAAAATAGAATGGCCCTCAAAGTGGTTGCGTTCCTTTTGTCCCCTTGAACCAACCTATACGAGGGTGCGCAAAGAAACACACCCCAGGTGCTCTTCTTTATGCATATGATACACCCCACAGCCGTGAAACCAATCCCTCAAATAAACTGGCAGAGGTGCAGGTTCCAATTGAAACTTGACCTGCTTTGCGTTGGGTGATTTGGTTGTCTATGAACCCCATTCCCCCCGCCAAAGTCAGAACTCAACTTGCCTTGCCGGTATGCGGTGAGCTCTCTGTCTGAAAAATGGCCCCATTTGTTTCACATTCCCCATTTGGCAACCTGAAGGCTCCATCGTATCGTTTGACACATTGGGACCCTGTCCGATGATTTCTGGTTCGCGGAAGAGAGGGGCTGCTAATGAACTCTGTCTCTCTTGCGGCTATAGCTCCATAGCAAAATCATGCTTTCCACGTCCCCAAAACAAGCCCTGGAGGCTCAAAGACCGGGGCCAAAACACGCCACAAACGCCCAAACCGGCGCTTCGGTCGGGGTCGGGCTTTCTCCTTCGAGAGAAAGCCTCTCTCAGAGACGCACCTCCAGAACCTGTGCGCTGCGACGAGCGGCAAACCTGAAAGAACCGGGTTTGGTGCTCGAATTTGATTCACCTGCCCGTCTGGTATTTTGAAGAACGAGCCAAATTTGGATCTCAAGCCATAAACCCCATAAACCCCCGTTGCGTTCCGAACCAAAAAGGGGACTCGATCTTTACTTGAGGACTCCTGTTCAATCTTTGACCAACCCACCAAACCATCAGGGTGGTAGGGACCCTCTGGTGGACATATGGGATTCGAGCCCAGACGAAATTCATGGCCACCCTAAAACCCTCAATCAAGGAGGCTGCACACATGAAACGAAGCCGTCCCCAAAGGCTTAGTTCTCTCCCCCCCCAAAGCGTTTTTCTGCCAGGGATTTACAGGTAGAATGCTGGACACTTGCCGTATTTATTGCAGCCACTTTTGCTTCAAAGTACACTCAAGTGTCTAGGGCAAATGGCTTGAAAACACTAGTCAACCTTCCCCATCATTTCCAGCTTCTCTGGTGAACAAACACCCATAAAAACTCCAGTCAACCAGTTTGTTTTAAAATAATCACAAACAAAACAAAAAAAAACAGTTTGAGTTTCCAAAGCAAACAAACAGTCTTGTTTTGAGAAGCTTGCAAATCCACCATCCAATCCCCCAGCGTGTTCCGAAACACTGTGGCACAATCCTCCCATCAACCAGATTGCTACGTCAAGAACACACCAACGACCCGCCCGCCCAATCAACCATTCTGTGTTGGTCCAACATAAGGAACCCCGAATCAGTCACTTTCGAACGCCGAGCAATCCTAAGGAAGAAAGAATCGGGGAAGAGAAAAAGAAGGTGACTAGCGGCGAGGGGGCTGGTGAAAGTTAGTTAGTGCCCGCCATGTCCTTCCTGTTCTCTTCTCTAGGATTCGTGTCTTCCTTCTCTCTTTCTTTTCTAATGTAGTCTGATTCTGGATCCATAAGTCCCTGGAAGACACGTAGAGAACAGAAATGATTCCTTATCCTTCCCACATCCTGTTTACTTGCGAACAAAGGGAGCGAGAGGATGTGGAGGAAGGATATGACGGAAGTCAATTAACGCCAGGCTGTTGCCTTGACTTCATCTTCCCAAGCTTCCAGACGCTTCCAAGCCAGCTAACGAGCGGGAAGGGCGCGAGGACACGCATCCCTTAACTATATTCACTCTCCTTTCTTTCTAATCCCAGCCGTTTAACGAAAGAAAGTGTGAGTGGATGAGATAACGAATGAACGGAGAGAGCGAATAAAGGGATGTGTAAAAGACTCTTGAAAATAGTATATGTCTATAATTACAATGAAAAAATAGACATATCTTATAGAATTGTGTCTTTCCTTCTTTATCCTTTCTTCTCATGCACTTCCTGCTTATTAATCTAGGAAATGCAAATGAGATTATGAAAGGTAGAAAGAAGGTGACCAGCCAAGAAGAGAGAAATGGCTGGCGAGATAGAGGATTGCCGAGCTGTGGAAACAAGATGCTCGCCCTCATTCCTTTTCTCTCTCTCTCTCTCTCTCTCTCTCTTTCATATCTAATTCCCGGGATCGAAGGGATGGTCAGGTGAGAGCCATCTTTTCTCTTCCTTCTCTGTCTCACGCTTGGAGACAATTAAAGTGTGAGGAGAGAAGAGAGACAAATGAGAGGTATAAAAACCGTGAGACTTGCGAATGCCGCGGAAGAGAGCCATGGAACGGGAAGAGATAGAGCCCTTTTTCCTCTCTCATCACCCACCTATTAATCATCTCTCCGGCCAGTATCTCTCTCCATCATTGACGAGTGAACATGAGAACGAAGGAAGAGGAGAGAGAGATAGGAAAAAGAGATGAATATCCTTCCAACACACACACACACCATTTTCTGAAGCTAAAACTGTGTGAGAGGAAGGGCTTGAGTGAGCTATCTCGTCCATTCCTTCGTCATGTCCTTTCTGTAATTGCGGTTCATCTCTGAGATTGATGATGTACGAAAGGAAAAGGAACGTAGGAAAGGGATGAGGGTTAACTTCTTCCTTATCTTTCCTTTCTCCATCACATGCGTTTGCCGATAGACCCTGAAGAAGCTAAATGAGAGCGAAGGAAGCGCGTGGCTGGAGCGAGAGAGGCAGCAGACACAGCCTTCATTGTGTCCACCGCGGCGTATCCTATCTCTTACTTTCGCCGCTTCTCTCTCTTTATTTCTGCAGTCACTTCGGCGAGCGGGAGAGACGAAGAGACGAAGAAATGCTATCTCTTTCACATGCTCTCGTCCTACATCTTGGAAAGACAGGACGGATAGAGAATGAAAGAGAAAACAGATGGCTTTCTTCAGCACCTATTTCCTTCTCTCGTCAACACGCTGGAGACAGAAAGAAGGTGATAAGAAGAAAGAAACATAGAAAAGATCCTCTACTCCCTTCCAGCCCTCACCCATCACGCACTCTCATCTCTTCCCTCCCTTTCACCTCTGTAGGATGTGATTAAGAGGTGAGAAAGGGAGGAATGAGAGTGTGGCCAGCTTTTCACCCATTTCCTTCCACTTTAACAATCCTAAGGACGGAGAATGGGAAGAGAAAAGATGGGATGAACAAGATCTCAGGGAAGTGCTTCCTGGTCAGTAAACAGCTTAGGAGAGAGATGGAATGACAGGTGACGGTGGGGAGGCTGGAGAGAGAGATCTCCCCTTATCTCATTCACCTTTCATATCCTCACTCATCCATTACCCCAGATCCCACTCCAAAAGCGTTCTTAAGGATCTGGAGGGTGATGGGAAAGATAAAGAGAAAAGGATATGAAAGGATGGGCAATGGCGGCGGCAAGAGATTAAGAATAAAGCCGCCAGAGAGCGGAAAGCCGCCGGTCAATTAATCTCTGACATCGCTTCGTCCCTGTCTACGCTCTGTCCCTTCGCTCTCACTCTATCACTCACCTTCCCTACCATTCCCCTCGCTTCCATCGCGAGCCAAAAAAAAAGTGAGGGCTTGGAAGGAAGGGGTGTGAGACAGAGAGTGTGGGAAGGCATGTCATCTCTTTGCTTTCCTTCCTATGCCTTCCACCACTTTCCCACTCTCCTGTAACCAGGTTGAGCTGAAATACACATCCACCAGCTTTTGAACAAACAGCATACGCTTTGAAACACGAATGAACGCTGGACTCAACCAAGTTGTTGTGTACTCAAACACACCAACCGACCATGTGACGATGCGTGAATTCAGCACTGCAATTATGTGTGTTCTTAGTAAGAATAGGAGTAGGAGTAGGAGTAGGAGCAGGAGTAGGAGTAGGAGCAGGGGTAGGAGTAAGATTGGTGGCATTTATAGCAGTAGCAGTAGCAGGTATCAGCCTCAGTATCAGCAGTAGAATCAATGTCAATATCAGTGTGTTTCATTATCATTATCATTATCAGTACCACTAGCACGATCACTATCATTATCATGATCGTGATCATTATCAATATCATTGTATTATTGCTATGTTTACTGTTACTGTTGGCGGCTGCTCCAACCTGTCTGGGAGTTGAAAAGCAGTTGTGCGATTCATCAGAAAGCCTTGACCTCAAACCAGCTGGGCAAATCCTACGTTCCCATCACAGCCTCATCGTCTTCCTCATGTAACTCCTGAGGCAAATGGGAAGCGCTCGCTTCGTCCCTTCCCAAAACTAACAATGGAATGTCCAAGCATATTGCCACTTTCTCACTTGATGCGATCAAGCTCGCATTCGTCCGGCAAACGGGGATGGATAGGTGGGCATGTCTTTTTGGGGGTACCCTTGGTGGGAATTTGCTTCAGAAAAAGGCTCAAAAATCTAAACCCGGTACTGTATGGTGGGCGTCTGGTGTATTACACGTGGGAGTTTCGCACTCGAACGAACGTGAACACTTCCTGCAATCTCGAACTTTCGCAAATTCGTTGCCGGGATGGTTTTGAAGTCGTGGACCTCGACAACGCGCTGTGGAAGGGCAGGCTGTGCGATTTGCTTTGAAGGTCGTTTTACGATTCCGACCTTTTCGGCATCACCTGTGAAACCCAGAATACGTTGCCTTGTTCAGCTAGAAAGAGCTAAGTCTCACGTAAGTGAATAGACATCACACGCTCAGACTCACCCTTGCTTCGCTTTGTGTGCTAAGCTTTCTCACGTAAGTGAATCGAGCAACGCTCAGCTTTCTCGCGTTGATGGTTCCAAACCATCTTTGTTGTTGAGTGCCTCACTTGCGCAAAGGACCCGGACATAAAAGTTTGGGTCCTTGACTTGGAACTAAACTGGAAAACCGAAAGGTAAGGTCGGATTTGGACAACCGAGGTGCACTGTAGCAAAAGCCATGGCCACCATCACCAGCAGCACGCAAGCGTAGACGTTGCGCCCCCCAAAGTCCAGCATGGCCCGTGCAATCACCGGCGCGATAAAGCGAGCAATGCTGACCGCGCTGTAGTTCGCCGCACGAAATGCTTCCTGTCACGGAAAGAAAAGCAATGGGCTCAGCTTGCCGGGCGTTTCTCAAAGAGTCGGTCCCTGAAATGGCTGCTGGGTTTCCTTTTGGTGTCCCGACCAACCAAAAAATAATAGTTCCGGAAAAAGCATAAAACCCCCATGCGTGCCAGGTCAGTCCTGGCTGAAGTCTGTGTCAGGTATTGCAGCCTTCGATCCCCAGCCCTCCGCGATGCCATTGGACACGCTGGCACAGCCGTACACGAGGCCGTCGGCCTGCGCCAGCGCCACTTTTGGCCGGTTTGAGACGGTTTTCTTGGACATGTATGTGGGGGAGTTCTCGCTGTTTGCTGGGAGAAAATAAAAGCTAAACATGTTAGTGACCAACCGCCAAGCTGCGAACAGCAAACCTGCCGCTCCCGTGCCAAAGTCGAAGAGGAAGATCACGCCCACCAGCGAGATGAGGTTGCTCCCGGCAAAAACCACGGACTCTGACAGAAGCTTCCGCGACATCAGCATTGCAGAAATGGCTGCGAAGAACAGACTCGTGGAGGACACAACCGTGAAGACTGCACCACAGGATTCAATCGACCAGCCATAAGACACCTCCAGCAACATGATGGTGCTTACCTCTATAGAAGCTGCCTGGTATTGCCGCTCGAATCCATATTGAATCATGTTCGTTACAACCTCCTGACGCTGCTGTGTGTCCAACTCCTCAACACCCGGCTCTGTCTGCTCTTCAGGCTCATCCTCGCAGGGTTGGACGATTTTCCGTGTTTACCATGTCTTTTGCGCAGCTTTTGTTTAAACAACCTCCCAGCTCCACCAATTCCCCTGCCTCCTCCTTGATGGGGGGAAGCACTTTGGGCAACGCCATGGCGAGGAGAATGCTGGCAAGTTGCATGATCATGCTCTGCGATAGGTAGACCCAAGCCATTAAAGACTCTGGCGCTACTGGCTCGCCTTGTTTCACGCGCAGGCTGATGATCGCAAAAATCCCCGGGCCAACCAAAACAAGCCATTAAAGACTCTGGCGCTACTGGCTCGCCTTGTTTCACGCGCAGGCTGATGATCGCAAAAATCCCCGGGCCAACCAAAAAGCCCCCGTTTCTGGCGCACTGCGTGCAAATCATCCAGAAGCTCTTCTCACTGTGCGGCGTGAACTTGGACCACATGACCATCAAAGGGACCAATGGCAAGGCCCCGATGAAGGAACTGATCTGTCCCAGGCCAATCAGAAGCCAAAACAGCGCCTGCTTCGTCGCGACGCTGCAACCCGCCGCGGAATTGGTCACCACGGCTTGCAGCAGCAGCACCACGTAGCTAGCCACCTGCGCACCAAGGATCAAGGTACGGGCGGAGGCCTGCAGGGTGTGGCCAACTGCTTTGAGCACCACTTAAACAACAAGCCGCATCAACTGACTCTCTCCTGCAAGCAGCGCGCAACGCTTGTCCGTTCAATCTGTTCCACCGAATCGACCCCCAAACGGTTGGATTGTGCCTGCTGGTGCTGATGCATGGGTCAGCCGCGGTGTTGAGCTGTTTCAAATTGCATCAACCCAAAACAAATGCACACGCTAAGCCTCATAGAAAGCGAAGCATCAATGACCAAGGATCTGCCTGCGCCAGAGAGGAGACAGTGAGTGGGATCGGAGGGATGGTGCGACGTTTTTTCACGAGAACGGTATCGCCACACATTCCTGCCGCTTCTCTGTGACAGAGAGCACTTCCGCTCGTTTCATACACGCTCATGGTCTGAGTCCGTCAGACCAGCATGTGTGTGGGATGGCGCCGCTGCAGACTAGCGGTAAGGCTGACCAGCCGCTATCGAGATCGACCGTGTTGCAGCACCACAGCGCGGCGACAACTAGTTACGAACTAGTTCGGCAAGGCCATCGTGAGAGCCATGTGCTGGTAGGGCAGACATTGCGGCCCGTCTGACTTCGCCAAACATGTAGCCAGTGACGAGGTTGCCCTGGCTGTCTCTTGCGAGAGCTTGTGGTCACACAGGCGTGGGTGGTCTGAATGAGGCGGTGTAGGCTACAGTGAAACACACCTGCCTTTTGCGACTCTTTGCTGGTGGTTGTTGCTTGGATTCCTTCTTGTGAAATTCCTTTGAAGGGAACGCGTGCGAACTTGCGTGGCTGACTGGAGCCGTAGTCATCCACACAGCTCGTGACAGGGTTGATGGTAAGTATCCTAGCCAGTGATGGCGTCGCCAACTGGAAGCTGACGATAGGCCCTGTCATGGCCGTGCCCCTGGCAGGCGAGGTGCTCACGCAATAGCGCAACATGTAGAATGGTCAGGTGAAAAAGGGTTGGTTGTGCATGATGTGGCGCCAGTGTTCGCCGGTTCGGTTGCGTAGTGACTGTGGCAGGAGTTAGTGGCAGCAGTTCGCACGTCTGTGGGGAAAGTCCCAAGGCGCCTGACGGCACCGACCACGGAGTGGCAAACGTGGCCGGCCATGTGGCCGCACCAAGCGGCCGAGGTCACGTTCGGTCGCGGTGCAGTCGAGGTCGCCAAAGCCGGGCGTCATGCGGGCCGGGAACTTGGAAGGAGGGCAGCCGCGGGGATGGCCGTGTCGTGGAGCGGGCGGCGGCAGAGTGTGGGTGCCGTGACGCTGAAGTCGGCCAACGGATGCGCTCATGGTACGCCGGGACATAGAACTCATGTAGCAGTTGGTTGACAAAGCGAAGCCAAGGGAGAAGCCAACCGAATTCGTGGTGTTGGATGCGCTTGTTGCGGGTGCGAACGAAAGGTCACGAGGGGCCATCGCCGCCCTCCAGGTGGTTGGTAGATCGGCATCAAAAGCCGGCCCGAGTTGAAGCTCGGTCCCATTTGGCTGGTCCTTCTCGTCGAAACGGACATCAATCTGCCGGTCGTGCTTCATGCGCAAAGCACACGATGGTGATGTTTGGTCAGTTTTCCAAGCAAACCCTAACCAAAGGGTCAATGCTTGATGTTGTTATTCAAAACACAGGTGTCAACCACAGCAACATCCTTGGACAAATTTTGCCTAACCCTGCCTGCCTGATCCCAATTGCTTTCGCTCACCATTCTCTTGCTCACAGCTAGTGCAAGGAGAACAGCAACCAGCGAGACGCTAATAAAGAAGCCACTCATCGCCGCACTCTGCCCCATGCTTTTTGCGAAATCCAGCGAGATCGTCAACATCAACGCTTCCATGAGATACCAGTGAAAGAAAAACGCCAAGGTTGTGATCTGGAACGACATGGTGTTTGCATACTGAGGATTTGTCAGTAGAGGCTTGTTTCTTGCTGCTTGTATCTCATGAGCCAGGAGGACCAGGAAAGTAGAGGCTTGTTTCTTGCTGCTTGTATCTCATGAGCCAGGAGGACCAGGAACAAGCAGATCATACAACTCCAGGTGCTCGCTGTGAAAGGCACAACCCGGTCTGAGAAGTCATTCAGGTCTGCAGTCAGCGGACCATCTTCAGCGAGTTCCTGATTCGCGCCAGTGAGCAGTGCAACGATCATCCGCAAGGGCTGCAACCCTACCAATACCAAGCGTCTAACCAATTTAGGAGGACACTTTCCTGCATGAGCACGGGGTTCGGTACCTGTGAGCCAAGTGAGGCTTTGACGCCGCCGAGCATTCTACCGGCTCAATCATACTCAAATCAGAGCGTCAGTGGTTTCTCAAAAGAAGCATGGCTGGCAAGAGTGGAAAGTGAGCAAAGCGCTTAGGATTGCCGTGCAGGCATGTGAGCTAACACGACACAACTCACTACACCGAAATCACGTTTCTTTGTGAAACAAACATTCAGAGCCGAACTTCTGTCTGGGCTTTCGGTCGCAAAGATAAGGCTGTGCTCCGGGCATCAGCGTGAGAGGTTCGTCTCCCTAACAAACGGAAGGAAACGATGCAGCGAATCGGTGGATCTGTCTCATACAATAATTCCAGAGGAGTTTTGCTTGGTGGCTCCCCACCCAAAACTTGTCAAGCCCCAGGAATGGTGTCCAACTCTTTTTCCGCCAGCGTCACTTTGCTGAGTTGATGTCCTTGGTGCAACTGGTCAATTCGTAGTTCAAGTTGAGCGCTCTTTATCATTTTTATTTCTTGTTCGTTATCTTCTCTTGGCTTCCCTTTCTCTTTCTCTTTCTCTTTCTCTTTCTCTTTCTGTGTCTCTGTCTCTCTGTCTCTCCCTCCCTCTTGTGCTTCCGTTGTCTTCTTCATGTTCTCTTTGTCCTTATCTCTTTCTATTTCTATTTCTCTTGTTTTGTCTTCTTCTTGTTGTGTTGTTTCTTCTCATTCCTTCCTTTTCTCTTTCACTTGTTATTCTGTGTCCCTTCTCTTTCATGTTCTCTCTCTCTGCGTTTCTTCTTTCTCTCTTTTTGTACCTTTCTGTCCAGCTGTCTATCTATCTATCTATCTATCTTTCTATCTATCTATCTCTCCTCTCTTTCTCTCTCTCTCTCTCTCTCTCCCCCCTAGCTAATTAATTTGCGCAATCGATCTTGTCATTCCTGTGTCTGTCTATGTACGGTTCTACTTAGCTGGCTATCCAATCATTCTAGCTTCACTTTCCACCAATCCATCTACCTGTTCTGTTTTCATCTATCCGTCTATCTGTCTTTCCAACTCTTCTAGCCAGCTAGCTAGCTATCTATCCGTGGCACTACTCATGTGTCAAATGATCATTTGATTCTTTCTGTCTGTCCTTCAACTCTCTCGTTTTATCCATTGTTCCATTTGTTTATCTTCGTCTCCTTCTTACTGCCCAGCTATCTACTCTTACTTTATGTCTATCTATCTATCTACCAGATGTGTGACCAAAGCTCTCCAACATGGGCAAAAATATTGGAGTAGTCACACCATCTGCGCATGACTCTGCCAAAGCGCTGTGCCTGTCGCAAAAACTTTGCCCGACCCGTCCCGCTTGACTCTTCCCCACAACAGGGGAAAACACGCAAAGGGCGCTCAAATTGAGCACTCTCTATCCCCAAGCGCTGCACCTGTCATACAATCTGAACACTCTGTCACCTGCTCTCTTTGTCTCTTTTTCTTCTCTTCTGTTTTTCTTCTCTTATCCTGTCTTCTCTTCTTTTCGTTTCTCCTTCCGCGCTCATCTACTTGTTCAGCCTTTTCTTCTCTTCTTTTCTCTTCTCTTATCCTTCCGCATCTACTTGTAAACGACAGCTAGCCTTCCCTTAGCCCCAGTACTACGCAAATTTCTTCAAAAATTCCAGAGAAAAGGACCGACCAATAGCGAAAGAATAGGCGGAATCTACAAGCGCATCTGTACATGTTGAGGAAGAAGCACAGTCCACTTGGGCTGGAAAAAGTTCAAGTTATCAAGCTTGCAAGCATAGACTTGCCGTGAGAAATAAAAACCAGGTGGCTCCCGAAAGAAAAACGGATTGGTCCCGCACAAAAAAGCCGCACCTGTTGGTTGGTGCAAAATCCCCTGCTTTTTCTATCCAGGTCATTGTGGCTTGTAGTGAACCCGTCCGGCGTCCGGCACTTTGGGGCCAAGCCATCGATGTATCTCGTCTTTTCTGGAATCGGTACCCGCATTGTTTTGTGGTTTGAAAGGAAAACCCAGCATTTTCAGGGCCCTGGTAAGGAAAAGAAGAACACACACCCAGATCTGCAGATTCACATGGATCCCAACAAAACAAGCCAAGTAGCAATCTCCCTTCGGCCCAAACATTCACTTGTTTGGCCCTCCCCCCCAATCCTTAAGTGTGGCGGGTTGCACCGGTGCACTCTACAATCTTTGGACTCCCCTCGTGTTTGCCAAGTCTGTTCGTCCCTGTCCAAACCAATGCGCGAGCCTGCAGAATCAGAAACTCCTTTGTCGGCTTAAACCAAACGAAAGTTTGACAAACCGGCGGGTCTGCGGGTCTGTCTTTCTTTTTTGCTCCGAAAATTGAACGGCTCTCCTTTCGGCTTCCCCAAACCAGCCCCATTCGGCTAAAGCATCCGTCTCCTCGCGGCAGAGCTCAGGGTCCAGCACCATGCGGCCCGAGGCCTGGAACTTCCACGAAGAGCCCCGCCGCTGTTCCGATGCTGTGGCCGTTGTCAACACCCATGGGATCCCGTTTTGGGTGGGTAGGTGAGGTCACTACCTATTTTAGTGGGGATTGGGATGTGAAAACTGGGGGCTCACCGAGGTTTTGACCCATAGCCTCTCCTCTTGGAACCTGGCCGTGAACCGATGTCTCCTCTGGGAATCGGAGCCTCCAGAATCGCTCTTCTGTTTTCGGAACCCTTCTCTGGCAAGAGTTCGGTTCTTGGTTTCCCATTGGTGGAATTCAATAGCCTCGGCTTTGGAAAGATCTCCAATCCGCCAAACCAGCCCTGAAAAAAGTACCCTCGAAAAAGACGCGCCCAATTCCTCACTTGCCCACAGAATCTGGAAATGAAAGGTTAACCTTTTGGGACCTCTACTAAACATGACTCCCAAAAAGGGAAAGCCAAAAGGTCGAAAGGTGGACTCGCCTTGAACAACTGAGAATCTGAGGTAACTATACACTTCAAGGAGCTGATCTGAGCGCTTTTTTGGAGGAAATCTGTCAGAAGATCTGACGCCAGGATCGAATCGCGTGGCCCCCGAGTGCGACGCGTGGGTTTATCTGTTTGTTGAGAACCCCGAATGTTGGTTTGTTCTCTCTTTCTTTCTTTCTTTTTCGGGGGGGGGGGATCCCAAAAATAGTCACACCCATTTTGACTCTCAAGCAAATCGGTATTCAAACACTCTACATGCCGCATTGGTGGTCACGCTGGCGACACCTCACACAACAACTGATTTTTCAAGGCAAAGAGCTTCAGCATCCGCCAAAACCCTCTCAAACGACCGCCTCGTTGGTCTTGGTTGTCTCCCAGCTGATCACGCTGTTCACCTGGGGCCATCAAAAGGACTATTGAAGAAATGGCCGATCTCTTTCGTTGGGAGGTCCCTCAAAACATTGCAATCTGTCGAAGCGCAAACGAGAACCATTGCCGGGGTGTCCAAAACTTTTGGCCTTTTGGATGCGGACAGCCCCACTCCAGTCTAAACACCCAAGTAGGCGACAACCAATTGGGGTCACTGAATTTCACCTAAAGTTGATGAGTTTTGCTGGTGGGTTGGTCTTGGACCCAAACCCAAAGCACCATTTTGGCCTGTGTGGGCAACCTGTTCCTGGCGGGCCTAGCAGGCCTAGCGGGCCTAGGGGGCCTAGCGGGCCTAGGGGGCCTAGCGGGCCTAGCGGGCCTAGCGGGCCTAGCGGGCCTAGCGGGCCTAGCGGGCCTAGCAGGCCTAGCAGCCTTCCCTTCCTTCCTTCCTTCCTTCCTTCCTTCCTTCCTTCCTTCCTTCCTTCCTTCCTTCCTTCCTTTCCTTCCTTCCCTCCCTTCCTTCCTTCCTTCCTTCCTTCCTTGCTTCCTTCCTTCCTTCCTTCCTTCCTTCCTTCCTTCCTCTCCTTCCCCTCCCTCCTTTCCTTCCTGTCCTTCCTTTCCTTCCTTCCCTTCCTTCCCTTCCCTCCGTTCCTTCCCTTCTCTTCCCCTCCCTCCCTCCCTCCCTCCCTCCCTCCCTCCCTCCTTCCCCCTCACTCCCTCCCTCCCTCCCTCCCTCCCTCCCTCCCTCCGTCCGTCCGTCCGTCCTTCCTTCCTCCCTCCCTCCCTCCTTCCTTCCTTCCTTCCCTCCTCCCTCCCTCCCTCCCTTCCTTCCTTCCTTCCTTCCTTCCTTCCTTCCTTCCTTCCTTCCTTCCTTCCTTCCTTCCTTCCTTCCTTCCTTCCTTCCTTCCTTCCTTCCTTCCTTCCTTCTTCTCCCTTGCCCGATAAGAAGAACCAAACACAGTCCCGTAGATGACTTTCTGAGGCTCCAATTTGGATCTCTTTCCGACGACCGTACCCCAAGGAGAAGCCGGGCGCTCTAGTGAAGTCTTTGAACCTAAAGACGTCTTGAATGCTGTTGGCCTGCGTGAATTCTAACAGGCAACCAACCGCTGGTTGGATGAGGTTGCGAATTCATCTGCCCAGCCTTAAGGGGGAAATCACAACAAGAACACCCGCTGTTCTGCCTAAATTCCACAGCAAACAACGATGAACAATTCTTCCTATCAATCCGGGCACACCAATATTGATCACACCTTCTTCTGAAAAGGAGGCTTCACGGGGCAAGAGGATCAGTCGGAGACCGACAAACCCTTCGTGGGGTCGCGACTGGATCAGTTGGGCTAGAAAAGACTCGAGCTTTCTGGTGCTTCACTGAATCAAGAAAGCCAACCGAAAGCTGAGAAAGCCAGAATTCAAGGAAGCTCAGCGCTCCGGCAGACGAATCCAGCCGAGAGCTCTCCTGCAACTCAGCGGGTCGGTCGCTGAAAATCAAACCTTCGGGTGGTCCCAAAACGGGCGGCTTCCGGTTTGCAGAACCCCCGAAAAGAATACCTTCAAGAATGAACACAATGTCAGTTTTCCGGAACTTGCAAAAAAAGAAAGATAAAACAGTGTAAGCTTCGCTGATTTTAGAGCCCAAGGTATCCTTGAGCCGGCGGGCCTTGAGGCTGGCCTAATAAAAATACCGACTGGTCGCAGCAGGGCGATATGGGGGGATCAAGTGAGGACCAGATTAACTAGAATGAGATGCAGCACCGAAGTTCGTCATGATCATAACTGAATAACGTGTGTCTCCGTGTATGTAATTATTTGGCCCCTCATAATCCCATGGAGCTGCTGCCAACACCCTGGCTTCCTTTGTTGGCAAGTGGGCATCCCAGGCCATACTCAAACAGAACCCTGCCCCCGTCCCAGCCCAAAAACAAAAAGGGCCGAGCCCACATGGCGCTCACAAAGAGCATTGAGACCTTTTGCAGGCATGGAACATCCATACAGTTGTGTGGTCCTCGAGTAAGGTCTGTCGTTCTGGACGTTTGAGGGTCCTTGGTTCTGAGGGCTGAAGTCTGCACACGTGACCCTAAAAAACCCTTACGACTCGCATGGGAGAGAAAGGGACACCCAGATTGTGTCTCGGCCCGAAGGAAAAACGATAAAGCCTGCGGAGAAAACGAAATTGTGAATGGGATACTAGTGTTTCGCAAAGTTGTCTGCGAAAGAAAACCACGCCCAATTGCCCATGCCCCCTTTACAGCAAACACTAAACTGTCGAGTTGGCAATCACCCCGGAGACACATGGAATCTTCCATGTGCGTCGTGCTCCATTCTGGCGTTGTTCAGCCAGAGCATGGTGCTCGCCGGGCGAGCGACTCTTGGAAACGCAAAGGCACCGGGTCCAGTTGCTCCATTGCCAAAAAACGCAAAAATTTATTTAAAGCGTCGCGTTCTGCACTTTCCTTGTTTTGGCATTCGGTGACCATGGCTTGCCAGTCTCCTCTCTCGTGTGACACCGCCCCCTTCACCCGACGACAGCGCCGCCCGCCTTGTCCAGGGCCGGGCTGTTGGTGGAGAAGAGCCAGCTGGAGGCCACCCCCAAGGACACCGGCACCGAGAAGTTGGTGGGCCTAACGAAGGAACCTTCGCCAGAACCCGACCCCACTTGAAGCCTGGAGAGAGCACGGAGAACGGAGTCGCAGTGATTCATGGCGAAGGTAACCTGGAGGAGGACACAACCAAAAACTACGTAGAGTCCCAAAACCACGTTGCACTCACTTCGGCAGGAGTGGATGGGCCGAGAGAAGGATTGCCGCCATGGCAACGTGGGAAGAAGGGTACCAAAGGCGAAAGCCAAAACACAAGCTCGAGCAAAGCCCTGGGAGCCAATTCAGCACCTGTCAACAACAAATGGTGTTCCTTGCAGCCACCCACCAAAAAGCCAAGAGGGAGGATCTCCCACTTTTGCCGCTTAGGACAAACTGAGGGAGGACAGCATACCGCTCTTAATCCTCACATGTTCAGAAGTCAGGACCGAGCAAGCCAAGGCCAACCGGGGTCGCAAATGTTCAACAAGCAACACTTTCAAGGACCCCGCAACCCTCAAAGACGGCAAGGCCGCAATCAGCCTGAGGGGTGGTCTTTGGGTAGATTGTAGCGAGGGGCATAGTGGAGGACATCCGGTGGCAACAAAGGAAAAACCCAAAAAGGTCCATGTTGGCCTTTCGACATGGAAGAAGAAAAAAAAACATGGTGTGGATCGTATAGGCCTTAGTTTTTGAAAGTAGACGGAACCATTCCCTTTGTATGGATCAGTAAATAACCAAACAAAACTGGAGAAAATCGCGCCATCGACTCTCACCCGACTGAGCGCAAATTTCGGGGGGCCGCGCATGGAAGACGCCGACAGGATGGAGGCGACCTCTCCGGCGTCCTCCCACCTGAGGCAAAAGCGTCCTCCTCCGGACATCCTACGGCTATTCAGAGCTCCACAAGAAGATGGGAATCCTGTCAAAAGCGCGGTCTTCTCACTTCAAAAGCAGCTATGGCCAAGAAAATGGGAATCCTGGGAAAAGCGCGGACTTTTCACCTTCGAAAGCAGCTTGACTATGTTCAAAGCCCGGCGTTTTTACAGTCAAAAGCAGCTTGACTATATTCAAAGCCCGGCGTTTTTTCACTTCAAAAAGGCAGCTTTGCAAAGACCACGGCTGCGGCTGCGTTGTCTGTCAAACTGCCCAAAGAAAAAGTATTGACGCCCCGAGGGTCGGCGAAGCAACTGCGCTGCCTAGCGGAACAAGCAATGGGAAGCTGTCAAAGTCGTCAAAGGAAGATTAGAAGGAACTTGCATACGGCAACTCCTAGCTCTTTGACACAAAACTAGGGAAGGAAGAAGCACACGCGGAAAAAACGCGCCCCTCAAAATGAAGCCAAGAGAATGCTCAAGCTGAAGCAGCTCTTTGAACCATCAAAACGACCGAAGCAAAGGAAAGCGAGGAACTCCGGGTCCATCACTTCCCAAATCGCGGGGAAATTGCTCCCCAACCCAAAGAGCACCGGCAAAGAACAACCAGGACCCTACAGGCCTCCTCAACCGCGAAAGCCTTCCAGCCTTCGTCCTTTGAAGGCACATCAAGTGCCAGCACACGTGGCCTTTTGTGCAAGGGTCCCTCAATTTGGAACAACGCCAACCCCCAGCCTGGTACCGGAACGGTCCACCAACAAGGTCGGCAGCGGCAGTGGCGCCTGCGAATGGCTTAGCCCTTGGAACACAGCGCTCGCCCCGTTCCTGCCCAAAGAATCCGAGCCATCCGGGCTCGGACTGAGGATAAACAGGGATCCGGATGCATGAAAAACACCCGAACATTGCAACTTGTAAATGGTGGTTTCCCTTTATGTTGGTGAAAAAAGCCGGGCAAAATGTATCTCTTAAGGAGCCCTGATAAAGGACCCGTTTCCAAAAGCCTCATGTTCGCAGCTCTTCCCATGGTGTCACAGTACCAATCAGAATCTGGGCAAGCCCCCGCAGCTCGAAACGATTTTCGGACCTATCCTGTTTTGAGGGACTCAAGAGGGGATCACTCAAAAGGAACAGGGGTCCCGATATTTCCCTCTTTGGTGATTTTAGACATCACCTTTTTGGCCCATGAAAGGTGAGTGTCCCTTGGTAGGGGTGATGTTCTAAGGGGAAATCTAGGGAACTCTGAGGAATGTCCGGCTTTCTCAGATGCTTTCGCCTGGCTCGCTTGGCTGCTGGCCTGGCACCGCAGCAAATGGGCTCTTCGGGACCACTGAAACTGGTTCTCAAAGTTCGCTTCGCCAACTGGGATCACCACGAAGCATTGGCAGTTCGGGATGTCGAGAAAGAAAAAAAAGGAAAAACAAGTTTCTGGGACGAATCGCGAGATTTTGTGACTTCGGGAATGTCATTTTGGCCGATCCCTTGGACTCATGCCACATACGATTCGCTGGGTTCGAGGGTCCTTGAAGGTTTCTGCCGGGCCGATTGTCCATGCTCACTTTGCCCATGGAATCAGCTGGTGGTGAACCAAAAGCGCATCCGCAAAACGGATGCTTGGTCAGGATCCCCAAATGTTGCCTTGTCCGGGTGGAATTTTGACGGAGAGCAAGTCTCACATGCAATCGCAGGTGGTTGAACAGCCTGGAAGAAGGTCACATTGACGGCCTGAGGGCCTGTGATGCTTTTTCATGGCCGACCGGAATGTAGGCCACGGGGGGCCACGGTTTGCCGCGCCCAAAGAGCGCTTGTCTCAATTGTCTCGGGGACCCCTGAAAACGTGCTTCTTCTGTTTGGATTGAAAGCCAAGGTGGCAAGGGCCCTGTCGAAGCTTCACAACTCCGCCGGGGGCGCGCAGCCCATGGCAACAACAAGCGGCGCTCCGCAAACCCACGCTTGGGGGCGCAGAGTCGCACAAAGGCGGCCACAGCTGTCTGCTTTGCGCAAAAGGCTTCTCTGTGCGTCTGAAGTGCTAAACGACCTGAAGCCTTGGTGACTCGTACATCCTTCGTATTGAACCAAAAGGCACGGCGAGAGGCGAAGGGTCCGCAATGCAAAAAATATCATCAAAAAGACTACCCGGGGCAAGTGGTTCCCAGAATGTTGCGGGCTACATAAGGAATGCTGCACTGGTCAGGGTTGCTCCGAGCCTCAAAACGAAGACCAAACCAAAAGGTAGACAAGTGGTTGTTATTGTTTTTTTAATCTAGCGGCCGTCTGCGATCACGCTGGTCCGCGGTACCGATCAGTAGATGGGGTAGAGAGTCAACTGCAGGCACTGAGTCCACCACAGGACACATCTGATCGCTTCGCCAACTGAGCCATACCGGCACCCGAAAGGGTAGACAAGTAAATCCTTTTGTTTTCTCTTTCCACGGGGTCAGGAGCAACCCTCTCGAAATTTGATTTGGGCATTGTTGCAAGCGTTGCTAAGAACGGGACCGAACAGGCGGTCTATTTACAACTTAGGCAAACTGGAAAAGCTATGAGGCGCCCTGTGAATCGCAAGGACGACGCCAGCAATTGACGCGTCAAAGCGCTTGAACAGCCCTGCGTCCTCTGCGCGAATGTCACGCAACAATGCTCAAAAAACATGGCAGAGTACACACAGATCTCACAAGTAACAAAATGGAGGAAAACGCGGGGGAAAGGTGGGCAGAAGAGCAGGGAGATGACCGGTGGAGCAATCATTGGCAAGAGCAAAACACTTCGAAGAGTTGGCAGAAGAGCGGGGGGAAAGAATGCAAGGGAGAGCAGAGAGAAGAGCAGACCGAGATTGAGCAGGCGATGCGGGGAGCGAAGAAAGGCAAAAGTGCTCAGAGAAGAGTGAAGCAAAGCGAGGAACAACTCCCTCCAAGTTTGATGTTTCTGTGTCACGGAGTTGTGGGATTCACTGACCATTTTTTGCCAGTTCTAAGTTATAGGCAACATGCGTTGCTCAAACACTCACATTCCCCCAACCAGTGACGACCAAACAGAGTTGCCCGAGCTGAGCAAAAGCACACTGCGGTGCACAGTTCCAGCTCCGAAAAAGCAATATCCACCCCTTTGTGAAACGAGTTTTACTGCGAGGTCAAATATTCAAGAACTTTTCGCGATGTCGTGCCGAGGGCATTGCGAAGGGCTCTTCCGTGCGGAGCTCTTGGTCAACTTGCGCAGAGTAGCTTGCACAGAGTCACCAGCATGGAGATATCAGGAGCTCTTGGTCAACTTGACGCAGAGTAGCTTGCACAGAGTCACCAGCATGGAGATACCAGCATGGAGATACTCGCGCAGAGTTACTAGCACAGAGTAGCTTTCCTAACTTTTCCTTGCGAACCGAAAAGCGCCTCGTCGGTAACACATGGTCTATTGCCAAGCGTTCCAACTGCAAACTTACAAAAGGTTCATCCTGATGTTTCACATCATGCACACACACGTGTTTGAGTGGGTGCTCCAAACGTAAACCTTTATCACCCCGCCTTTGCCATGTGGCTTTGCCATGTGGCAATCTTTCAAAGTGGCTTTTGGGGAAAACATGCTCGCCTTTCAGTCTATACAGCTCAAGGCGCTACGCACTTGTGAAAATCCCTGGCCCCTTTCATCAAGCCAATATGGGAAAATTCTGGAACTCATCTCCCAATGCAAATCCATCCATCTGCCATGCACATAGGAATGAATATCAACTGCACTCACTTCCTGAACCATCTGACGTCAACGTCTCACCAGTCAACGGATTTATACCTTCTTCCCTCAGTTGATCTGCCCACGTTGTGTCGTCCAGATAGCTACTGCTCCGTCTCATTGCTTCAGGATCTCGTCTTGCAAACTCAGCATCGCTGATCTCCTTGCTCTGCTGTCGCTCCACCGCTCTCTCAATGATCACGAATCGTCCAATCCACTCCTGAATTTGTCCTTTCACAACATCCAGTTCATGCCATATCCAACTCATCTGTCGAGTTTCGCGCTCGTCCTCTCACAAAGCTTGCACCTGCGAAATCATATCTTCCACACTGTAATGTAATCTCTCCAGTCTGCTCCAACCATTCAAGAAATCCAAAACACATCAGAAATCCACACACGGCATATAGTGTCCAAATACTGTAAATCACATTCAATACATATTGCAAATGTACATACACAATCACGCTGTCTCCATGTTCAAGCTTCCTGCCATTGCTTTTCCTGACAGCTCCAATAATAACGCGTACATCAGCTTCTCCTTCATATTGCATCCAACCACTGTCGAATGCTCTCTCTCAAGTCTTCTCACACTTGATTCACTCTGCACAATCACTCTGAACACATCTTTCATCGCTCTTCGCCTCTGAAGAATATTCCGAATCTCCTCCAGCTCATCTGCGCCATATGGAATCTCATTTCCCTGCCTAATACCAATCAGGCATGCCAAACCTTTCATCCTGGCTTGACTCAGCAACTTTGTGTTCAGATCTGCTGGGTTCAGCTCTGTGGGCACTGGCCTTAAAACGCACTTCTTGTCAGCTACTGCCTTCTGAAGCCATAGTGCACGTGTTGACAAGTGTCTGGTCTTCGAAACTCCAAGCCTCTCGCCCACCTGTCTTGCCGAAGAACTATCTGTCATCGAACGTTCTGCGCCTCCATTTGCTTGCTTCGAAGTTGCAATTCTGTCTCTGCTTGCCAAACCCAATCTCGCTCTGCAGGCTTTCACTGCCAAAACAACTGCTCTGATTGAGTTCTCACCATCACTCTGAAAAATTGGGTTTTCATCTGCAAACGTCATGCTGTGCCGCACAATCTCTGATCATGTACTTGACCCCTCTGGGGCCCTTTTCGCAAACGGGAATTCCCAGAATGCTACCATGCTCTGAATCATGCACCGCAAGAAACTTGCAATCCCCCCAGAATCCATAATCCATGGAAAACACAACACCTCCATCACGACATGCGGTCGCTTCTGGCTTCGTCTCCACGTCTGGGAGATTGTCTTCCCTGCTCCTGGCGCGCACACATGCTTCACACGACGACAACCTTGGATGGTGTGTCAACTCATGCTTCACCAAATCCTCTGGAGAAACATTTGCTGGCTTCCACTGGCTCTCTCCCTTGTTCCGCATACAGTTTCTCTGCAACCTCAAGCGCTGACTCATTGTACACAACTAAGCTGTGAGCCAATAGCCTCCTCCATAACTTCCTCTTGTCTCCAGAAGTCGCAAGAGACCATGTTTTGCACGCGTTTCTCAACTCTCGATTCGAAGACTTCTCGGTTACCTCTGAATCTCCAACCTTGATCTCCATACATCCTGCTTTGTCAATGCAAGGTTTCGCTGCTGCAATCACTGGCTGAGGACCAAGCTGACCTTCTGATTCGTTAAGGCATGTTGCACTGCTCCTAGCTTGAACCCAAACATGAACCCCCAAAAGAACAAGCAAGTCCGAAGCGGCCGCAGTTCTTTTTACCGGGATTGCTGAAAGTAGCACTGCTTCCAGGGCACTGGTGCGCCTGGAACAGGAGGTGCGTTGACCCCCGTGAAACTGAAAAGGCAACACAATGCGTGTCCTTGCAAATGAAGGCAGTGCTTGCCGGGCGTGGCACGCGTGAGTCGGTCCGGAGACCAGAGTTGGTCCGGAGACCTGGTCCGGAGACCACCAACGAAAGTGCAGGGCTTCTGCGACCTGTACTTGCAGAGCCTTGTATAAGGCAGTGCAGGGTGGGTGGGTGGGATTCAAATGAAACCGCAGGTTTGGGTCAAGGCTAGGAGCAAAACGGCCACCGCGTAGTTCGATTCACAACATGCCCTAAACACAAGGGAAAAGAAACCCTAAGCGTTAAGGCATGTTGCACTGCTCCTAGCTTGAACCCAAACATGAACCCCCAAAAGAACAAGCAAGTCCGAAGCGGCCGCAGTTCTTTTTACCGGGATTGCTGAAAGTAGCACTGCTTCCAGGGCACTGGTGCGCCTGGAACAGGAGGTGCGTTGACCCCCCCTTCAGTGTTTCAGGCAACCCCGGTATCAGCGAGCCAGCTGGGCCGCCGGCCTCGTCACCCGCCCTTCAGAGTGGGGTTGTACCTGGAAGGGGAGATGTCCGCGTGACAATGCACGCTTGCGGCTGTGCGCAGCCTGTTGCTCAGGGTCTGCACTTTTTTCGGTCAGAGCGGCTTGATGTAAGCGGCTGGCTGACGCAGCCAGTTTTTCTGGCTGACAGGGCGAAGACGGCCATTTGGTCGCAATGGATGCAAGTAAGGCTGGCTAAGCAGTGCTGGAGGCAGCTGCCAGATGTTCCGGGCGCCAGGGCGCATCCATCGGACACAGCTGAATGCCTTGGCCTGACCTTGCTAGGCCCACAGGGCTGAAGCGTATGCGACTTTCAGGGCGATGGCTGAATCGGGCCAACCGACCTCTGCTGAGATCGTCCGCCCAATCATTGCACCTTCCTGGAACGTGCGTCGGCTGCAGCAGCACATTGTGAGCGTGAGCCCAGAAGGCTGTTAACGGCACGAAAAGTTGCAACGGCCAGGAGGTCGTGAACAACTTGTTAAGGCTTGCTTCCGTTGCGGAATTGTCCGTGCCTGAAGGCATGCTGAACGAGTAGTGCCCACCACCAATGTGGCTGTGGGTTGCTTGCGTCACCACAGACCTGGGCAACGAGCTCGCCTCCCTGGACCGGGAGCTGCCCGAGGAGCACCGCACCAAGCGGCCCGAGGACCGCAACGCCACGGCCGTGATCGACCGGGGCATCCAGACCCTGAAGAAGGAGCCGCACGAGACGGTCTACGGGGCCCTAGAGGACGTGGAGCGGCAGCCGCAGGCTCCCACCAACAGCTTCAACCCCCAGTATGGGGCTGCAGGCCGTGGACTCCATGACGGTCCGCAGCACCGAGGGGCGGGAGGCCCTGCCGGCGCCCCAGCGGCAACGCCGCGGGCAGGCTGACGAGGCGCGGCCGGCCCGCTGCGGCAAGGCAGCTGGACGACTTCTTGGGGCAGCCCAGGAGGCCGAGGCCA